TTTTTTTTTTTTTTTTTTTTCTTGTATTTTTCCATTCATATGCTTTTTATGATTGTCTGCTGTTGTACTGATAAATATCTGCTGGAGTAAACTATCCACCTTATTCCGGATTTGGCGCCACTACCCATAATTCATAGCGGAAGCCGGTTGTTTACTTCCGCCCGCGATCCCGCGCTGTTGTTTACGTTTGTGGGTTAACACACTTGCTAGCAATTTAATGTTTTTGACACAAAAGTTTCCTTTACCTGAAGTAAATGGCAGCACATCAGAGGTGGATACATTGCAAGGATGTTTTAAAAAGCTGCGAAGATAAGTCGTTAACTGTGTCTCACCCATCATTTCTCACGGACTGGGTAGATGATATGAAATCATGGCCCGGAATTACCTACATCGATATTATTAATTACCTTGTTTTTTCTGAAGGCGTCGATGGCGAGGAATTGCGGAATTATAAAAGCACAGAGGCGTATAATTACCTCCACAGCAACAAAATAGATACAGTTTTGCTCAAGAAACAAGGCGACTTTATCTTTCTGAAAGCAGCTGTTGAGCCGAGCCAGAGCGTTGGTCAAGCTAAACACTTAGCATGGGTCATGCTCAGAGAAAGTGGAGTGGTAGAAACGGTCGGCTGTTCCTGTATCGCCGGATTGGGAAAATCATGCAGTCATGCGGCAGCTATTCTGTGGAAGGTATATCACTTATCTGGATATCAGAATATTTACATCACTGAATCAGAATCACTGAACTGGGCGAAAGCTGTGAGCTTCCTGTCTGCCTGTGTTTACATGTGGAAGCCAGAGCATTGTGCAGCCTGTGATCTACTGTCACAAAAAATTAAACATTAAAAAGGCTGTACAGTATTTTTATATTATTTGTTTTTAAAAAAGTACAGACTGGATGCAAGGCAACCTAACATTTACAGAAAAGGAAAAAATAAATGACAACAGCAGGGATGTAAATAACTTGTTTCATTTTATTAGGAGCAGTGATAGCTGAAGTCTGTTAAATTGTTACAGGTCCAGAATGCTGTGATCAGTGGAAAGACGGGGCTAGCATGTACAGATGAGCAGCGCAGGTGGAATGCTGGGACAGCAAAGAATCTTCAACCCAAACGTCTAAGCATGATAAACTTCAGACACCACAAGGCAGAGCAGCAGTATAACATCAACTCAAGGGCTGCAGACACGATTAGTCTTTATTTTCATAAGTGTTATAAGGACTTGATCTTGTACAGGCATTGTAAATTCATTGTTGTCATCTCCTTCCAGTGCTGACACAAGAGTGTTAAATGTTTCTAACGCTATACCAGTGTACAGCAAAGCGTCTGCGTCATTTTGTAGAAGAAAAAATGCAACTTCATCACACTGAGTCGTCTTGTCCTGGACATCTTTTCTGCCAGACGTGTTGCAGTATTGATGATGATCTTTTAGCGAAGGGTCCTCCCACTGTGTGTGGACTGAGTGCAGATGTGGCCCAGGAGGTTGTGTGGAGACGCTAGCCAGGTCTGGGATGACTGACGGTGAATCTACGGTGCACTCTGAATAACACAAAAATACAAAATCAAATCAGCGTAACACAACCTGTCAAATGTCACTTACCTTATTACGTTTTAGGAAGGAAATTTGTAATTCCACACTCGTACACACATGATACATCTTAAATGTCAATAGTGCTGTTTTAGTGGGGCTTTAGCCCCCTTAAATTTTCCTAAGCCCCATCAAATTATGCTATAATATCAAAATATTGTGATTAGATTTTAGTTTTTCATCCTTAAAAAAATCAGTTGGAGCTAGGTTGCATTTAAGCTTTTTCTTTAAAGAGTTTAAAAGAAGTTTTTTTTTCAGCTGTGTCTGTTTCAAATAACCTGCCTCTAATAACTCAACATATTCTTTATTAACAAAATCCCCAGACTTTTACAGCCCTGGGGGCTGAATTTTACCAGGTTGCTAAATAAAAAGCTATTCTCGGACAGTTACATGAAATCATATACATCTCTGCTAGCATGCTACTGATGTTAATTACTAACCACTTTGTCTTTAAGATTTGGATTTGGCTGCCAATCAAGTACTTTCTCTTAGTGATAAAGTATTTTGGAATTAAATTAATAATACACTAACATCCACAATAACACTGCAACCAGCTAGCGCTGATGCTAACACCATCCACAGTATAGTAATTATAACATTACAATTATAACATTAATAATAATATAATTCAGTAAAAGATAAGAGCTAAGCATGATTAAAATGTGAAGCGGGGACAAATCACATTTTCAATTTCACTCACCGGGAACAGATTCGGCCGTTTTGTCGATGTTGCTGGAAGCTGTCTGGCTCACAGTGGTCCGGATGAGCTGCCTTCTTTTCTTTGGTGGGGCCCGGTCATAGCCCAGATAGAGCTCCGGGTCGGGGTGAAGCTCTGTGGGCTTTTTATCAATAAAATGAAAGGAGCAAACATAAACTCTCTTCGGGGGGTATTTGAGTTTTAAAGCTGCCAGCCACGCTCGTTTTCGATCCTCCTTCCTCGGCATGGAGTGCAGTTCGTAACGCGCTGGGCACACACAGGCCTTTCGAAGTTGTTGATGTGCAAAACAATACGTTTCTAGCTCGTCTTTCAGTTTTCTGGAGCTGTTGTGACAGCCAACAACAGCACAAGTTGAACCCGAACTCATATTAGAATTGTTTAAGCCTCCTGCTACAGCACAAATTACTAGAATTTGTCATTAGCAAAAGTGCCTGTCATTAGCAAAAGTGCCTCTCGCTTTAGCTCACCGGAAGTATAAAACCGGGAGGGGGCGGTACCTGTCTGTCATGGCAGCCCACATACGCTCTTGCAGAATAAGGTGGATATATTGACTGCAAGTATCAAGCTGTGAAATCCTTCGTTTTCTACAACTGATAGTGGTTGGTCATTAATTACGATGACATTTAGCAACTTCTCGGTAAACATTCGAGCTCCGGGGTTTCAGCTGTGTGTTATTCTCGTTCAGTTCGGAGAAGGCAATCTGATTTTGGTCAGCCGCGCTCAGTCTGCCCCTCATCCAAGACGGGCAGACTGAGTGGGGCAGTTGACCGAAATCAGACGGCCTTCTCTGGACTGAACGAGAATAACACATTGCTGAAGCCCCGGAGCTTGAATGTCCAACGTAAAACTAACTTTATCGTGGTTTAATGTGGTGCTATGGCTCTGCAGACATTGCACGTTGTTGTCTTGTTTTGTGGTGTTTCTAGTGTAAAATACTTCCACACAGCGGCCATGTTTAGATGAAAAGTTGGTTAGCCGTTAGCCACAGTGCTATTGCACATTTTAGCTGGCTGAAATGGATTTCCTGAATGTGAGGCGGATCTTAGTCTGGATTCATGAGACACGCCTCCGTTCAGGAAATCCATTCCATAGTTTGAACCCAACGTGCAGAGCAGCTGGCAGGGAATCACATGTGGAGATATTTTACTTGGAGACACTTGGAGACTTGGATCGGAAATCTCTGCAGGTTTGATCAGAAAAATCCGATATGTAAATTATGCTAGTATCGAAGCCCCATACCGATACTGGATCGGATCGGCCCCATCCCTACTTAAAACTGGATGTGAGTTGTGAACTATTCTGCTGCTGAAACGTCACACCTCAGAATCATTCATGACAGAAGAATTTGTAAAGTGGGAAGGACACACTGGTGGGGTGGGGGGTGGGTGTTCTGGAGGTCCTCCCCCAGAAATGTTTGAATTTTTTGAAAATTAGACGACATTTCCTGCATTCTGGTGTATTTTAACAGGTTGTTAAACATTTACGTTTACCTATATAAGTAAACACTTGATTCAATAACTATTGTAGAGCGCAACAAGAAGCAGCCTGACCAACAGCTCTCTTTGTATGAATAGAGCACGCTCCGCTTCTCTCAGGCTTCCTAACCCCCACCCCCCACACCCCCACGCATCGAAACCTGCTGGAACTACCGTAGCTCTAAGATAGCAGCGTACACTACAGGTGTGCTAGCTAAGTTGCTACAGACATAGCGCTCCACTTCTCTCACACATCCTAACCCCCGTCAACAACTGCCAGCACTAATGTGGTGCTAAGATAGCACATATAACAGAGGTGTCGCCTCGTCCTCCCCCGGTGAGTGCCCTGCCAATGACCAAGGAGAAACACTGCATGGAGTTGATGTAGGTAACCAGGAAAACCTGGAGTGGACTTTTAGTGGTTTGAGTATTCTTCTATTAATCAAGTGGAATGGATTCATTCATGAAGAAATAGAAACAGCGTCGAGTGAATTAAAGTTTCATGGTAAATGTGTGTGTGGGGGGTCCGAATTAATATTTTTTAAATGTGTGGGGGGACATGTCGCCTTCACATATAATTGTTGCAATGTCTATGCTCAAAATGACTGAGGTGATTTCTTTCTTCCTGTCACATGAAAGAAATACCTGAGCTCAGGTGTTTTCACCTGGGTTCTCTGCTGCAGAAGTCCATCCTGTGGTCCAGCCCAGAGACAATGTAATGTGAGCAGGAAGAGTCATCACAGCAAACAGGAAAGCCTCAGAGTCCAGAGGTTTTGCCTTTCCTCCAGGACCACACAAGATATCTGCGTTGATCCACACTGGGGGGCTCAACTCAGCCAGGACATCCTTCAGGAGAACCAGGGATGGAGATACAGCCTCCAAGCTGTATGAAATAAAAATCACAGGTCCAGAACCACACAAAGACCACCAGTACTGAGCAGGAGAACAGGCTGGTCTCACCTCTTGAAGTCCAGTTTAATTCCCTTGTTGTAAACCTTCACTTCCTGCAGCCACTCATTTAGCGTGATGTCACTGTCGTTGTCAGGGGGGTGGGCCATGACGGGCTCTTTGGGGTCGTGACCTCTCAGGATTACATCTGCTTCAATCATATGAGTTCGACCTGTGAGTGAAAACACAGTTCAAACACAAACCTCTGTCAAATTCTGAAATCCTTCACAAATATGGAGACAGAAAAACTTTGTTACAGTAAACTGTGATATTTTTAAAATTAAAACTGTGATGTCACAGTGCCATGTTGTGAATTTAGACTGTAACAATTTGAGTTTACAGTGTAGTAATTTAAATGTACACTAGTCCCTCGTTTATCACGGGTGTTAAGGACCACGCCCACCTGTGATAAGTGAAAAAACACCAAGTAGGGATACAGTAGTCCAAGTTCAATTCAAGTTCAGTAAACTTTGTCATGACATGTGCCAGGCTGTAATCACACTCATCACCTGTTACTACCAATCTACCTCCTTAAATAAACAATTTAATATTTTAATTAAACAATCTATGCAGCATGGATTGTTTAATTAAAATGTTACAGTATTTAAATTTAAATTGTAAAGAAGAGAAGTGCAGCAGGACACCAAAGAGTTAACCCTTCACACAGTGTGCACAGAGTAGAAATGTACTTCTTGATCAATTACACTGAAACAACTGAACACAGAAGTTCTAAAGTAATTAAAAACACTTGTATATTTTGTGATTATGATGATTTTACGATGTGACATACTTTGAATTTTACGTTGGAAGACAAAAGTCGATCGGTGCATCTGGACAGCAAAGGGCTCTTCACAAAGCTGCAGCAGGAGAAATGTGTGTGTGGCAGAAATGGAGATCAGCTGATCTGCAGCAGGAGGGAGCTTCCCCCTACACTTGTGGGCTGCATACATGGTGCAAAATCCATTCATCCATCCATCCATCCATTATCTTTTACCCGCTTCTTCCATTTTGGGTCACGGGGGTCACCGGTGCCCATGTCCGGCAATCACTGTGCGAGGGACGGGGGACACCCTGGACAGGTCTCCAGTCCATCACAGGGACACATAGAGACAAACGAAACAAACAACCATTCACTCTCTCACTCACACCTAGGCACAATTTAGAGTTACCAATCAGCCTAACATGCATGTTTTTGTTCTGTGGGAGGAAACCGGAGTACCCGGAGAAAACCCACACATGTACAGAGAGAACATGCAAACTCCACCCAGAAAGGCCCCCGGACCGGGATTTGATTCAGGGACCTGCTCGCTGAGAGGCAGCAGCTCTACCAGTTGCGCCACTGTGCTGCCCTGGTGCAAAATCATTTTAAATAATTTATTGTAAGAAAACAATCCATGGCTCAGCCATCAATCAGCCAAATGTGTTAAGTCCAATCTTACTTAAAAAAAACGTGATACAGCGAATCCGCAATAAACGAACCGCGAAGTAGTGAGGGACTACTGTACTGTGTATAAATAGAAATGTACTGAGTAATACTGTGTTTACAATGTAATATTGAGTCTACAGTGTGAAAATGTTACCAGAGGAAATATTTGAGTTGCCAGTTAAAACATGTGACTTAAAAGATTAATAAGTTAACAGTATAAAAATGCAAGTGAACAATGTAATAAAGTAAATTGAGTAATAAAATGTTTACAGTCTAATAATGTGATTACAGTGTAAAACCATAGATATCATATAATCACTAGATCCCGCATTGGCTGCTGCGACGCAGGAATTTCGGCCGCCATCTTGGAGCAGTCGTCCTTCTTATCCAGTTAAAACAAAGGAGCAGAAGATGTCTCAGCACTTCGCAGCTTAATTCTGTTCAAATCGTCGGACATGTTTATACCCAACATGATTGCGTATAAAAAGAGCTTCTCAGAGTGTCAGTGTCTCTCACAAGCCAAGATGGTAAAAGGATCACCAATTCCACCATTGGTGCACAGAAAGATAGTGCAGCAATACCAGAATGGTAACAACATATGCTCCCATCTAGACGTTATCTCTTTCAGGGAAGACCCTGCATTTTTCAACACGATAATGCCAGACCACATTCTGCAGCAATCACAACATCATGGTTACGTAGGAGAAGGATCCGGGTACCGAAAAGGCCAGCCTGCAGTTCAGATCTTTTACCTATAGAGAACATTTGGAGCATCATAAAGAGGAAGGTGCGACAAAGAAGACCCAAGACGATTGAACAGTTAGAGGCCTGTATTAGACATGAATGGGAGAGCATTCCTACTTCTAAACTTGAGAAACTGGTCTCCTCTGTCCCCAGACATCTGTTGAGTGTTGTAAGAAGAAGGGGGATGCCACACAGTAGTAAAAATGGACTTGTCCCAACTTTTTTGGGATTTGTTGACGCCATGCAATTTGGAAACAACAGATTTTCCCCTTAAAATGATACATTCTCTCAGTTTAAACTTTTGAGCTGTGATTTGTGTTCTATTCTGAATAAAATATTAGATGTTGGCACCTCCACATCATTGCATTCAGTTTTTATTCACAATTTGTTTAGAGTCCCAACTTTTTTG